GGACTCAGAAATTAGCAGAGTGAAGGAAAAAACCATCTCTGGAGGAGAAAACCATACGATTTTAAACGGAAGATACTTAAAAACCTGCACAAAACATGACCTGGCCAAATAATATCGACAAACTCGATAAACCGGAGTTCCATGGATAATAATCGATTATATTTGAAAATTGTTGTCTAAAATGTTGTCATTTTAATCCATTATTGTTGCAATTATAGACCACGAAGTCGATTATATTGTCATTATAAAAGATTATTTTCGTAAAAATACAATCCAATAAACCATTTCAATTGAAAATAATTGATTATAATCCTTACATTTTTTTGCAAAATCCTTTCCAAAACTTGCAACACATCTGCGATACTCGCGGCCTACTCGCAATCATAAACTACTCAAATTAACCCCCTCACTTGGCTTCCCATCCTCGTTTGCCCAAACCTCCTCCCCTACTCCCTTACGTTTATCCCTCCGCACACCCAATGCTTACTAAAGTTTACCCTCAAACACAACCCCCCCCCCCAATTTACAGTCCCCCCTCCCAGTTTGTTTGAATTTTTTTCCAGTTTAACCCACTCACCCAATTTTTTTGTTCCATAATCCCATTTTTTGCCCCGCCCACGTTCAGTAACACGCGCAAGGGGGTTTAAACTAAGATAGGGGGTAAACTGTGGGGGGGGGGGGTAATATGGGGAAGGGGGTTATCTGGGGAAGGGGGTTGTTAAAAGAGGCGATGGAGTTTACGTAGTTTAGAAAAATTTGAGAAAAGCTAAATAAATAAAATCTTGTGTGAAAAGAAAAAAATTTATGACGTAATACGAAACAGAAAATGAGATATTTTTGAAAAAATTTGCAAAAACTTTTAATTATTTCCCAAAAATACATTATAATTGATAATAATCTATTATAATAGATTTTAAAGATTTTAAAAAAAATTGATTATAATCCATTTTTAATGGATTATAATCGATTATAATCAATTATGTTGGATTATTTTGATCCAAGGGTAACTTGGTGTCAACCGGATAAGTATTTATGGGTTGGTCCAGTTGAGCCAGAGGAGTAAATTTTGGCGTAAGCGGGTTAATGAGGTTGGCTGACTTTCATTTATATTAAGTAACAAAATATTCTTTTATGCAAACAATCAAAACTTGAAACTTGATTATACTTTCGTTACAAAATGTGAAATCGAAGATGTTGTATCAGCGCGTAACAATGATGTTTAACTTTCTAACTGAATTTCGTTGCTGTTAGTCGCAAAAAAACTTTTGCGGCTGTCATCAAAAAGTTTTTTGAATATTCTTTTCCTTGTGCAGCAAGACAAGACAACACTACGTGATGTAGGCGAGCCAAGAATTGATTGGCTAATAAAACAGATCTTTCCGAAGAGGATCTTCTCTCCAACAAAAACGTCAGAAAACTTTCCATTGGTAGAAAGAATAATTGAAAAAATGCATGGCAGAAATGAATTTTTCTCACACTCCGGAGACATTTCATGAACTTATTTCGAACGCCCTGTTTGAGAAGAATGTCGGAATAGGAAAATTAAAACACTCAGAATAGCACAGAAATGTAGAAAACTTCCACATTTGGAAGTTTCTGGCTTTTCAAAGCATTCCTGAGTCAAAATTAGACTATAAGCTGAAAAAAGCTATATATAATTTTCTGAATTGAATTAAAATTCAGATTTTTCAGTTTTTTATCGGATGATTTTTCTTCCAACGGGCGCTCTGAAGACGATTGTTTTTTTTTTGTTTTGGCTGACAGTAAATGGATGATTTTTCATTTCGAAGAAAATTTTATCCACAAGATATGTAGATTAAAAGCAATGTTTTGAGTCCTAGCAAAAAATATTAATTTTTGCAATATTGTTAGCCTCAGTTCAATTTCAGTTCGGAACATTTTCTGAGCAGGAAATTTTCGCCATTCTGAGCAGGAAACAGAGCACTACAGATCGCTCACTAAATATCTCAAAGTGACCAAATAGGTCATTTGAAAACGAACTAAGATTACAAAAAAAATACTTACAGTAAGTTTTTGAGCAAAGCATCAACATCTTTCGACATTGTATGAAAACTTTATGTGAAAACTTGCTAGTTAAAAATCTGAAATGGTCTAGGCAATAAAAAAACTTTTGGAATCTGGGTGTAATAAAACTTTGATGCTCCCCTATTTCGAAAGATTATTCACCCTTACCCATTATTCCAAAGAGGGGTTACAAGGTAAACAGTTGAAGTATTCTTTTTAGGGCTGGCAATTTCTTACCAGTTACCATAGCAGGAAAACTCTCTAATCTCATTTAAGAACGGTTTGTAGAATTTTTAAAATATTTTACTTGGTTGACCTTAGGTTTGAGAATGATGGTTGGAAACCAAAGGTCACTTAAGACCCTTCATAGTCTGGACTAGAACAGGAACGAAGTTGCAACAGCCATGCTGATGTAGATGACCATGAATTCAACAATTGTGGATTCAATTCTTCCGCTGAAACATCCGCAAGTAATTTTGTTCCGACTTTTGATACGAAACTAATTGTTCCGACTTTCGATACGAAAGTAACGGAATATTTGTGCTCGGGGTGGGTTTTTTTTTCTTCAGACAAATTTCGACTTTTTAACTAGCCATTTTTGACGGAATTTTTTATATCATTCAAAAGACATTGTTGTCCTGAGCTTAAATTTGAAAAGATATTTCACCTGTGATCATTTTTCGTAAAGTTATGAGGGTTTAAAGATTGCCATTTTGACCAATTTGGGACAATTAACGCGCGTATCTTTTTGTACTTTATATGGCGTGTGGGGGGATGATTTTCATAAAAAATTTCAAATTTTAGAAAAAAAATTTTCATTTTTTTTTATTTCATTAAATTTTTTTAAATTTTATTACTGCTGCTCCATAAACCTTAAAAGGCAGTAGGAACATTGAGGGCTTCGTCCTGATACGAGGAGTCTTGTTTCTTTTTAAAACCCTTTATGCTAGCAAAACTCTCGCATAAACTTAGTTTTGCCTATCATTTAGTTTTGCCTATCATTTTTTTTGGTAAAATAAGGTTTTAAAATTGTCAGAAAAAAAAGTTTCACAGTGTTTGACGATTGAAATGGATGGGCTCTTTGCCATTTTGTCTATTGTATTATCATGGCCAAAGACGTGATGTTACGATGTTAAGTATAAATAAAAATCTGCTCAGAATAGTTACTTTGTACAACAGGGATATTTTTCATTAGATAGTGGCAATGCAAAAATCGTTTTTCAAAGCTGAAAATTAAATGTGGGGGTAGTGGAAAAGAGCCAATGGGTGTTGTGAATTAGTACCAAAAAGAAACCTTTTTGATGACCAAGAAGCCGAATCATATCAGGCAGCCGAAACAACCTGCCTCTCTCAATGTGTCTGGGTATTGATGGGGGGACTTTAAAATACAAAATTTGAAATTTTTTCTGCCTATGCTTTTCAAAGGCAAATAAGGTTTGATCTGGATGAAGAACAAGCTAATAAGTGTGGTCCCTAGTTCTCAAATGCATCTACTGAAGATTTCATGGAGAATCCATCAGCTCATCTCGATTGATGTAATTGTGTGAGAAAACTGAATAAAAAAACCTAATTTTCATCTTGTGCTTAATCTTTGCTTGTATTTATTTCTTTAATTTTATGTTCTCAATTGATGTAAATTATGTTTTTCCTATTTTGAGAGATTAAGGTATACGTAGTCGATCAAAACTTCAAGATAGCCGCCTATCACAAAAAAGTAAAAAAAAAGAAGCTTTCTGCGGGCAACGGCCTAGCGGGCTGTGTGTATGTATGCGTAGCTAAGATTGCTTCCTTCTTCCACGGACGCTGTCTTCGCGTGTAAAGCTGTTTTTGCCCAAAAAAATTGTATCTTTAAAGATCTTGCAAAAAAAGGTTATCTTTAAAGGAGGTTATCTTGCAAGATCTTGCAAGATAACCTCCCTTGATCGACTAGGGATATTTCATGTTATCGTCCTCCCCGTCCCCACCAAAACATAGCCCTCAAATAAAACTGAGACAATTTTTTTTGGTTGGGCTGAAAAAATTATACTACGCTGGTTAAGAGCCTTCACTGCAACAAAAAATTAAACTAGTATTTAAACTTTTAAATCTTTTATGTTTTTTTTTTACTGAATGAAACTTTCATTAAACTTTCCGCATTAAACATCAAATGTGTTTGAAACTGGGTAAACTTTTTGAATGTCAAATTCTTATTAAAGTAAA